GTAAATTAAAGTTCAGAAATACAAAGTGACTTGGTTCAGGTTGCACAGCCAGAATGAAATCAACTTAGAACTCTGACTATGAAGAAGACAGCTTCAGTATCTGAAGCAATGCCTGGGCAAGAATGTCTGTGGACAGAATGTACTCTGCATCCACAAACAAATCTTTTCACAGACATGGGGAGACAGAGCACTGCTGGATGGAAAGGGTCTCTGCTTTGTCTGTTTGTTTTCAGGACAGGGTTTCTCTGTGTAGCCCCGGCTGTCCTGGAACTCACTCTGTAGACCAGGTTGGTCTCCAACTCACAGAGATCTGCCTGTCTCTGCCTCTTAAGTGCTGGGACTAAAGGTGTGCACTACCACCACCTGCTTCAAGGGGCTTTATCTGCTATAAACCTTACAACTTTTTACCTAACAGGCTTCCTGAGGCCACCATGACCTGATTCATAATGTTTCCACGAAGCTATTCGTGACCTTTTCTTCTGCTACCTGTACCTATATATACACAATCCATCACAACACATGGGAAACTGATATTTGTTGAACTGTTATCAAACTATTTTATAGCACTGGACATCAGGGGCAATTGGGGAAGAAGTCTGACAGAAAGTATGAGTGACAGTAAGCTGCCATTTATTTACCATGAGGTAAAGACCTCACCCACCTCAGTGCGGACAGAGTATTTGGCGGCTAAATGAGAGAAATGGACAGGAAAACCCAGTAGGGACTGGCAGAGACCAGCAGGGACTAGCAGAGACCAGCAGGGATGGAGGTAGCAGGGCCCCCGCATGGATGCTTCTATTTCCTTCTCTTTAATAATATCAAAAGAAAGAAGATCTGTGGAACTAATGCATGCAAAGTACTTTCAAACGAGGGAGTAATTGATCTACTCATACATATTAAGTAATTCTTCGCAGATCAAGAAATATTAGGCTTTCGACTGAATTAACTTTCTAATGAATTAGAAACAATTTGGAAAAGGTCTTTAGAGTGCCTAGTATCTGCTCTAGGCAATATTGTGGGGCTTTGTTTTCTTTTCATAACAATGAGAGCATTCAAAACACAAGGAATTCCACACTGTGGGTTTTCCTTGGTAACATCTGAGCTGATGTTGGTGCAGACAAACGTGTTCCGCTTGCTGTTCATATATTTGGGGGAAAGATACGCAGCATTTCATTTTTCTCCTATGAATTCCTGCAAAGGGAAGTCTTCTACAAATGGCCACAGCATATGGGGACTCCTGGCTCTCTTCTGCCAGAGTCTGAGACTGCCTCCTGAACCCTGGAAATCCAGCCTCTTCCTTGACCCATCTCAAGTCTACACTGACTTCTCCAACGTGTCATTCAAGAAAACTGCCAGGTGTTGCGATTAGGCCCTAAGCAGTGGGGACGCTTTCCTCCGTCTGGTCTATCTCCCATATTTACGTCTATTGTCTCAGCTTCACAGAAATTAGAACATGATGCTGCCCTGCCACGTACGACATGCACACCGGCAGTGTGCAGGGCACCTTATTTGTGCTAAAATAGGTAAAACAGATGCCAGGGTCCTCTGGAAATCAAAAAGCACCACACACATGAAGGTATAGTTATCTAAGTGTGAGGGTGACATTTATTTCTTAGGGGTAGGGAAATGGAGACCCGTTTAGTAATTCCCAGTGACAGGCTCGCTCTATCTATCTATCTATCTATCTATCTATCTATCTATCTATCTATCCATCCATATCTCTCTCTATTCTTTGTGTTCATGCATGTGTGTGTGCATGTGTGCGTGTGCGTGTGTGTGTGCATGCGAGTGCAGCATGTATGTGTGCATGTGTGTGCGCGTGTGTGCGTGTGTGCATGTGTGTGTGCATGTGTGTGTGCGTGTGTGCGTGTGTGCATGTGTGTGTGCATGTGCGTGTGTGCATGTGTGTGTGCATGTGTGTGTGCGTGTGTGTGTGCATGCGAGTGCAGCATGTGTGTGTGCATGCGTGTGTGTGCACACGTGCATGCGAGTGCAGCATGTGTGTGTGCATGCGTGTGTGTGCATGCGAGTGCAGCATGTGTGTGTGCATGCGTGTGTGCATGCGTGTGTGCGTGTGTGTGCGCGCGTGCATGCGAGTGCAGCATGTGTGTGTGCATGCGTGTGTGTGCATGCGAGTGCAGCATGTGTGTGTGCATGCGTGTGTGCATGCGTGTGTGCATGCGTGTGTGCGTGTGTGTGCATGCGTGTGTGCGTGTGTGTGCGCGCGTGCATGCGAGTGCAGCATGCCACACTACACGTGTGGAAGCCAGAGGAGGGGAGCGAGTTGATTTTTCTCTTTCCACGTGTAAGTTCCAGGGATGAAGCTCAGGTTGGCATGCTTGGTGCTGGGCGCCCTGACCCACTAAGCCATCTTGCTGGTCCAAGGCAGAGCTATTCCATAGTGGTTTAGATTAGAAACAGGGAATTAAATACGACCCCTGGCATCGCAGTTTCCATACCCACTAACCAACAAGTTTGACGGGTGGAATGGATATTATGCTGACCTCCATTTAATTTTTAACTTAGACTTTTTTCAAAGTAGATCTTCTGGGCAGATTTCAAGAAGGCAAAAGTCCCCTGAGCTACTGCAGCCACTTAGAACCGGAAGGTTTCTGGCCTCGGGGGTTGGGGGGGGGCTGACATTCCAAATCTCTGTGGAGGGGCTCCGAGGAATGGGAAGATGTAGAGGGTTTCTAAGCATGAGACACTGTCGGGGGGAATCTCCTACCAACTCCCTCCCCCCCCTCAAGAAATCGAGCTTAAAGGTGGACTTCCGTATTTTATGGGAAATACAGAGGGGATTAACTCCCCTAGTTGTAAGCCTCTTGGGAGAAACCTTTGGGGAAGGGGCACTGGAACCATGCTACTGGTTGGAGAGCTGTTTCCTTAGAGGGTTTTTAACTGCTATTTCCAACCCTTTGAAACCCCAGTCGAGAAGCTCAACATAGAAGTTCAGGGGGAAGACACGGTCTGGGGCCAGTGTTTCAGACAGCTGAATAAAAGCCAACAGATTTTAAAAAATTTGTACAGCTGACGACCCCCAACTCCAAATGGGGAAGATTAAGAAACAGAACAAAACGAAGCATCAACTGAGCTGCTGACTGTAATTAAAGGCAGGTGAATGGCACTGTACAAATAACGAAATCACCAAGTCCTTTAGATTTTGGACAGTTACAGTTTTGCATGGGCACTATTTTAAGCAGCACGCATTCATTACACCGTGGGTTTTTGTCCTTATGAACACATTCTCCAAACCAATTCCCAAACTGAAATGAATACAGCCTAGAGAGCTGCAATCCCAGAATCTCTTTTTCTTATTGATCAGATTCTGGTAGAGCCATCTTTTTTTTTTTTTTTCCTCTGCAGCTAAAGTGCTATATTGAACTGCGGGATTCTAGAAGGCGTCTAATAAGCTCCGGGCTGCCGATGGAGCCCGTCTCCATCAGCCATTCGATCGCTGTTAGTCGAACCCGCGAGGTAAATAAGTGGGCTTGCAGCGGCTCTGCCGCAGCCCACCAACCTGCTAACCTGCTTTCCGCTTTCGGGTTTTCCTCCCCGGGCTGGATAAAGGTCCATTCAGTTTTCTCAAGGCATGAGAACTCCTGAAAGGGATGCATTTCAGGGTGCGGAGACAGGGGGAAAGTGTAGGTTATCAGAAGTATTCCTGGCCCTGTTTGGGATTCTGGAGAAGAAAGGAAGGGCAGGATTTTGCTGGGTTACCTCTGCTCTGACAATAGGCGGAAGAGGAATTAATTTCTCTTTGCGAAGACTCTGCCCTGGGTGGAGAAACTGCACCAATGATTGGGAGCTGAGACAGGTAATCTCTGGTTCCTGCAGGTGCCTCGGTCAATAACAGTTAAAGCTCATTAAAGACCCATCCTGCCTCACTCAGGAAGACGAGGGTCCAGAAATGACTGGATTTTAATGACTAAAGACCACGTGGTTCAAGGCAGCAAACCACGTCTCTGAGGTGTTCCCATTAGATATATTGAACCACACACGTGCCCCACAAATACTCAGAGCAGGAAATGGAAGAAAGGCTTGCGGGGGGAAGCCTCCATCCTCCCTCTTTAAAAGAATCTCATCTGAAACAGCAGCAGATTTACAGATAAATTACCCAACCCCAGAGAACAGGAAAATTTATCCTTTTCTCCCCTCTCCCAGTCCATTCTATTTACAAAAACCGCAAGCCCCATCACCGCCACCCCTGAGAACAGTTTAGTACTGATAGACAACCTTGCAGGCCATCTCTCACCATGGCCGTTGTAAGCAGTACAATCGTTTCTAGAACTTTCTCTCTACATATTTCTTCCTTGAGTTAAAATATAGAGTGTTTTCCAAAGACTTTCAAAAAGACAACAATCTCACTAAACAGTTGAGAAAAAAATTAACGACTCAGGCAAAACAATTATAGTCAAATTTTCACCTTTGAGTTCCCAGCTAATGTGTGGGAGGCGGAGGAAGGCTCGGAGCTGCAAGCTCAACTTCCAATGAGAAGAGCTGATTCTACCCACAGCCACCCAAACGCCCAACGAGGGGCAGAGGTGCAGAACTAGCTGCCCACCTGACATGGATGTGTTGGCCGTCTAGCTATGGCTGACTCAAAGTTCTGAACAGAGATCCAGGGACACAGCTGAGTAGACATTTGTCCCGAGGAGGGAAGGGGCTGACTGACAGATCTCTCTTTTCAAATACTTGTGCCAGCAGAGTTGTTATTTCTAACTGTTCATCGCGATAACGTGGGATGACGCAATGACTACCGCTAATTGGCTGAGAAGGGGTTTCAACAACACGCATACGTATCCACCTCCTCGGGGGGGCTGGTTCCAGCTAGCTCCAGAGAGCACAGAGTGCAGAACGCTCTATAAAACAGCACAGGTCAACCTCGGCGTGGCGGGCCAGCGGGCGACCGCGGGGAGCTAACTGCTCAGTATCTAGCCGCAGGACCTGCTGTGGGTGAAAGGCAAGAACATCACGGAGGCTTGGAACGAACACCTTACCTGAGCCATCTGCCTCTCCAGCTTTGACCGGGGGATATCATCGAAGTAGTTTTCGTTTCTTCTCCGCCTTGCATCGCCCTGCATGATAATGTGAGGGACGTCTAGGGAGCCACCAGTAGTGTAAGTGCTTTGGCTAAGTGATGGAGACAACTGAGGAGGAGTGTGGTTACCACTGGCTTCCTGAATGGAAATACATCATGAAGTAAATACCATGCTCTCGCGGGGGGCCAGCCTTTGGTTTCAAAAACTGTGAAAATACGAACACAACAAGCTACGGGGGTAGGAGGATGGGGGGGTGGGGGGTGGGGGTGGGGTGGGAGTAGTTCTCATTCATCTGCTGGGATGTTCTACTAGATGGTGTCATCAAGTCAATACTCCTGCCTCCCATTGATTTTAGGTCAAAGTCTTGAGGTATAAAGAATCACATGTTGTTGTTGTTGTTTTAACCAGGACTACGGATGATCTCTCTAGGAAAGCAGAGGTTCATCTCTGCGTTGGGCACCCCATCACTCTCGCGTGTTTACCAGGGGAGGGACTGTGGGCGGAGCATCCTCGCTGCGGTGGATGCCGTTTTTTATGAGCCGCTAAACGTGGGACTACGTGGGTCTTGACCCTCTCTACCCATGTGCGGTGTGACAACAGGGCTGGGGAGTGGACACAGTATGGCAACATAGCATGTCACGCGACGTACAGACTGCGGAGCGATGCGTATAAATGACAGAGGATGCTTTTCCAACAGCAAAGACAGCCCTAGCTGCAGACCGGCCAGAGCGGGGTGAAGGACGGCAGCGGCTGCCGCTCTGGCCTTTTCAAGCCACAAGAACATGGGAGCCATGATTCTGCAGGCCACTTCTTCCCCTGACTTCCTTTGGCAGAGTTAGGCCCACTTTGGCTAGAATCCCACCCTGCCCCCCTCCGTCCCGTCCAGTCTTTAATTTGTTATTTCGTTAAGTCTCTTCTTGGGAGTCAGGGTGAGGGGTTCAGAAGGGAAAGGCCAGAGAGCTGTGTAAACTGGAAATGGCTCGCCTGAGGAGATCTCTCAGTGTGATTATGCACGTGGTGCTTAGCGCCTCCCCTCTTCCCACGAAGTAAGAGGGAGGCAAGACAATGAGCCCTTTGTAGTTTAATTGTTCTGATGGATTGGAGGCCTCTTATGGAGGATAAATATGCATCCTACCTCCGCTTTCCTTACTCGTCAAACCCTGAAGTAGCTTACATCTACCTTAGCTCATCCTGATGCCCCTGGTACTCAGTTCCTCTTGTGGATTCTTGCACCTCACGGGCCCCCTTTCCTCTTGTAATCTAAATCAGACTCACCATTCTGGAAGGTTCTGTCCTGCCCAGCGCCCTGTCACACTGACTGTGGCCCACCAGGAGCATATGCACAGAGGACCATGCTTGTGTTCATCATTTCCGGCTACCTTTCCTGACATTTGCCGTGGGAATGAGATGCAAGTGAGTGTAGGACTGAGCTTGTCAAAGGAGACCTTGGCTTTCTAAAGGACTTTGGAAGAGCCCACTTGAGCTTCTGGGAAGCGGGGTGGGGCTGTGACTACGATCTCTGCCTCAACCTCTTGATTTCTTTGGGGTCTTTCCTTCTCACTTTTCCTCTTTGTTCTGACCTCTTACAGGGTTCTCTCTAGTTTCTCTACCCCAGGTTTCTAAAAACATAGCTGAAGGAAACAATTGTTAGTTTATTAAATAAAATTTTAGAGTCTATCTTTTTAAATTTTTTGAAGTGGGTAAAAAAATGGTCATTTTTCATTTCTTGAAAAACAGGAGGACCCTGAGGTTAATTTTAAATTGATTCTTACTTAACTGAAGTTCCCGATTGATTTCTTTTCTGTGGGTTTGAGTCTGACAGAAAACTCATTTCCTTTCTCTTGGGAGCGGGAGTCTGGGGATGAAGGGGTGGTCTTTAGAAGATGGTGGCTAAACAAACTGAATTCCCTTATAATGTAGCTCTAAATCTCTGAATTATTTATATTGAGAAAACCAGACACAATCAAAAGGGAGATTGATAAGGCAAGCGATGAGGAAAATGGCCTGCATTTCCTCCTCCACGGCTTCTGCCATTTTACTGCACAGTACACTTTTTGAGGAGAAGGGAGGAGAGCAAAGTGGACGTGGTGGCACTTACCCTGAGCGTGATGGATCGAGGGGGCTTCTGTGGAGGCTCCTCATGCAGTCTGTCTCCCAGAGATGCCAAAATGCGTTTCCTGTGGCCAATCAAACTGATCTTTAAAACCTGAAACAACATGCATTTGGGTTAATTCTTTTATCTAAGGTGGGGGGAAGAGAATTTGTCTATGTCCTACAACACAAATGGTACAAAGAGGTTTATGCAACATTAGCCGGACCCTGTGAGAGACACAGTATGAAATCAGGGGCACACTTCGGTCTAGAGAGGAGTTGGAGGGAGTAACAGCCAGAGAGCCTGGGTGGAGAAGGCGAAGAGGGCCCAGATCTCACTGTGCACCTTGGCTCTGAGACCCCTGACACACAAACCGGCCCTTAGCAAAGACATCCTAAAAACTCGCTGGGTTCCTAAAGCTTTTAGAACAAAGACCGAGCGAGCTTCCTCCTTGCCTCATGGCTAAGAACCTGGTGCAGTGTGTCCCTTCACACTGGACTCTCAGTCATGGGGGCCTGAGTGATTCTGCCTGTATGCCTGAACACGCCACACACACACACACACACACACACACACACACACACACGCATGCACAAATGCACTCATGTGTGTGCGTGCACACACTTGTCTTCACCTGGGACCTCTACCCTCCCCCCCCTCCCCCAACCGACCCCCTTCTGCTTTAGCACCTGTAGCCTTTCGAGTAGCTACACTTCTGTCCCTCTATTACTCAGATGTCTCCTGAGGAAGAGAACTGCTTTCACCTCTTCACTAAAAATGCTGTACCACAATTCTATAAACTCACTGTACCACGGTTTTTTTTTTTTAAAGCCATTCTTTGAAATGACTTTGTCAGAATGCTTGTGTTTAGGCATCAGCTGCTCCCATGTGGGGTCCCTAAGAGCAGAGCCTTGGGACTTGTTTATCACTGTTATTTCTGCAACATACCAGACAAGCCTTGAAACAAGGCAGGGGATGGGGGTTGGGGTGGAACTCAATGAACAGGAGAGATTGGGCTTGGATGAGGATTAAAGTAGGCAAGCTAGGGTTAGAATAGGTGCTAGGGGTAGATTGAGTGTCCAAGGAAGGCACTTTCGAGGGCAGGACTGCAGAGGCATCTGTGGAAGAGATACCCAAGGGAGCCTCGGCCCCGGTCCAGTCCCCTAATGTTTGACAGTCATTACCCTCTGTCTCCTGAGCTGAATCAGGCTTGTCTGAACGGTAAATGCCACGGCTTCAGTGGTTAAGAGCACTGCCTGCTCTTCCAAAGGTTCCTGAGTTCAATTCCAAGCAACCACATGGTGGCTCACAACCATCTGTAATGAGATCTGGTGCCCTCTTGAGGAAGAGACCTGGTCAGTCATCCTCATCCACTTAGACTATGAAATCCAATGTGGACAAGTTCAACAGAGCCGCCATACACAGGCTGCCCGTGCATGCTGCAGCATTGCCAGGGCATACATTTCATTCACTCAGTTTCAAATCTATGACATTTTGGGCATATCTCCAAATTATGACTACAATCATAAAAGCATTTTCTCCCTTCTGTGTCTATGTGTGCCCCAGGATGTAAACAGCTCTTGACACATACCTAGCTTTTAGTTATATAAATAATTATTTCCATTCCTATCAAGTTTTACAGAAGAGAAACTGAAATTTATGCAATATTTATATAAAAATGTATATATTTATAATATTAGTATTATATTTATATAACATACATAACAAATTTCAGCTATATATGCAACATATATATAATATATACTCACATATAAAATATATATTATGCTACCTTGAATTTTGGGTGCTTGCTACCTAATGGTTGTTTGTTTGGCCTAAACTGATATAGGTTTAAGGTTTTTAAAAATCTTTATTTATTTATTTATTTATTTACTATATGTGTGTGTATATGGGCATATGGGTGCCATGGTACACACGTGGAGGTCAGAGGAGAACTTGGCAGCGCCAATCTTCTCCTTCCATCATGTGGTTCCAGGGGATTGATCCCAGGCTGTAAGGCTTGGCCGCAAGCACCTTTATTTCCCAAGCTGCCTTGCTGGGCCTTGATTTAGGTTTTAAAAAGCTCCCTGTCCTATTCTTTCACATGGTAAACGCTAATCAAGTTGAGCACCAGCGTGACCTGTCCCCTGGCCCTGTGGGTTTATAAATTCTCACTCCCCTGGGCTGAGGAATCCTGACGTTTGATAAACAGTTCTTCTCGCCTGGCAGTGATTTCACCTGCGCCTTCCCCCACTTTACTGCTGCGGCCGGCGTAAGGATGCTGAAGAAACACGACTCGGGATATTCCAGCATTAAGTGAACCACGGCTGTCAGTGTGAGTGGTGTACTGTTTTCTGCTTTTAATGACCTCTTTATAGACGTTCCTTTCCAGTCGGCCCGATGGAAGGCTGATCTTTTAGATGCAGGGTGATTATGAATATCTACATGAGACAAAGGTGCGTATTGGGCCGTCAAATCTCTTCACTTTGCTGGAGTGGACAGTTCAAATCCCCGTAGTCTTGGGAGATTGGTTTGGATGGCTTCTCCCTAAACTCCTCATCCTCCAGTTGTCCACGCAGGAGCCCGTCTGCCATCCTTCTGCCCACTCCCGCGGCCTGGCGCTGTCTTTCTGCATTTCTATTAGCCAGCTCGGCATTTCACTACGTGGACGAGCGTTCCAACGGAAGCCTCCGTGCAGATTATGAATATGCTAATGAAGTAGAGTCCTGTGCTCATAACTCACAGGCAGCATTACCTACCGCAGCCAGAGAAATGTCCTTATATCTTTGTACTGTTTCCTTTTCTGAGCACCAGGACCAAAGATTCCTCCATCTCAGAAAAGACACAACACTCATCTTTTCCCAAGGCAGTCTGCAAGTCTAAGCACACTTCATTTTGTTTTATTTTATGTATGTGGGGTTTTTGTTTTTACCTGCTTGTGTATTTGTGTGCCACTTGCACACCTGGTACCCAAGGATGCCAGAAGAAGGAGGTACAGATGGTCGTGAAGTATCATGTGGGTGCCGGGAATCGAACCTGCAACCCCTGGAAGAGCAGCAGCCTGTGCTTTGACTAATGAATCATCCCTCCAGCCCCCTCTGATTCCCCTTTATTCTTATTCTCTATTACTTTGCCAAGAGCTTCTATCAGATGTTATTCCTGTTCCTCCTAAAATCCCCACCTCTTCTTCTTTTCCCAGCAAGTGATTGGACCCAGGGCTCATGTTGCTTCGTTGGGCCCCTGACTACTGCTGAGAAATGATCTTTGGGTATCTTTAATAAAGATACTCAATTTATGTTCTAAAAAAACAAACAAAACAAACCAAAAACTGACACTAAGCCACAACTCCGTAATTTCACTCTTGTGTTTGGTTTCCTCTCTCACACTCAAGTTTAAGACAAGTGACCTGTCTCCTCTGGCCTCAGTTTTCCCTCAGTAACATAAGGGGACATTGTTGCCCAGGATGGCCAAGGTCATCGGAAGGATGAGGAAGGGCATGATGCTGGGTGTGGTGGTTTCCACACCAGTAATCTTGGTGCTTGATAGACAAAGGGGGAGAAGCACTCTGAGTTCAAGGCCAGCCTACTTCATGTAGTAAATTCTTGACTCTAGGTCAGAAGGCTACACAGAGAGAAATCTCTTTCTCCCTCCCTCTCTCTCTCAAACGCGCGCGCGCACACACACACACACACACACACACACACACACACACACGGAGGGCAGGAAAGAGGGAGGAAGGGAGGAAGAAAGGAAGGTGTAACAAGAGTTGTACCTAGAACTTTCAACTCTACTGACTAGTATTCATGGTACTGGAAGGTACACTGTACACTTCCAAAACAGAAAGGTAAACACCAATCCAGTCACAAACCCTTCAGTCTAGCACGGTATCCTGCCTGCAAGATGCGGTATTGTAATAATGGCATAAAGTTTATGGGAGTAGCCCATAAACTACTGAGATCTAATATGATTTAGGGCCCACTTTATGAGATAGAATCCATCCCTGATACTGCTCAGGTGGCCGAGAACCTGAGATCAGATATGCCTGGGACCAAGGGGAAACCAAATGCTGATGTTCACTAGAGGAATGAAGCAGTAAAATGACCCCTAAAGACATTCTGCTGTACTCAAAGGTCAGTATTGTGCTCCACCAGCATCGGAGAAGCTTCCGTCTGCAGTAGATGGGAATGAATAAAGAGCTGGATGATGTGCAGAGAGTGCGAGACCTTGGGACACTCAGCCCTGAAAGGAATGTTTCGATCAAATGCCTCCCCTCAGGACTCAGGGAATCTTGCAGAAGAGGAGACTGAAAGATTGTAAGAACCAAAAATTATGGATGATACCAAGGAAACAAGGCCCTTCTAAACACAGGAGGATGGATACACACGCAAAGTCACAGACTGTGGCAGCATCATCGGTGCCTGCACAGGCCTAGAAAGTAGGCCAAGTGTACTATATGTGTGCACACATGCCTCATCAAATTGTTAAGGTAACCTAGGTATTCTCATTTGCATGATGCCAAACTTGAGACTCGAAAATACTGAGGAACCCGTGGGCCGTGCTGCCCACAGGTGTCAAGGCTTGGAACGGTTCCTCAGCCCTCAGTCACTACTGACTGCTCGGCCAAGCTTCTCTTCCTGCTGTTCCTTCCATACTTTCTGGCCGCAGCCATGCCATGGATCATGGCATGATTGTACTGAAGCGGGGGCTTCTAATGAGTCCCAACCACCTGAATGTATTAGAACAACTCATTTCTTTGACAAGTCTCATAGTAAAGAGCAAAGAGCAAGAACTTTCCAGCATTCCCCGGAATGCAACCCAAATTAGCTAATATCAGAGTAATAGAGAAGGCATGTAACTTTTGGCTTCAAAATTCTCAGGTTGATTGAGAGATATCCAACTGGCAGAGCAATTACAGAATTTTCCAATGAAAGGCAATCTGGACTGGCTTGAGTGAGAACAGCTTCTCGCATCTTTGTAATTGGAGCTCGGAAGAAGTGAAATCCCAGACACCTAGGATCTGCAAGCCAACCTTCCTTTGAAGGCCTCCAGCAGTAGCTATGTTTTAGAGGAGAATTTCACAGCATCCTAGGAACATTATTTTGGACCTAATGAAA